AATTGGAAAAGATATATGCACCCCTGTGTTTATTGCAGCATTATTTACAATAGTCAAGATATGGAAGCAACCCAAGTATCCATCAATAGAGGAGTGGATAAAGGTGTGGTATATATACAATGGAAAATTACTCAGCCATAAAAAAGAATGAAATCTTGCCATTTGCAACAACATGGGTGGACCTAGAGGGTATAATACTAAGTAAAATAAATCAGAGAAATACAAATAACATAATATTTTACTCATGGGGAATTTCAGAAACCAAACAAATGAAGAGATTGACAAACAGAACCTTAAATATAGAGAACAAACTGGTGGTTGCCACAGCGGGAGGTGGGTGGGGAGATAGGAGAAATAGGTGAAGGGGATTAAAAGAACAGTTATCTTGATGAGCACTAAGAAATATTTAGAATTGTTGAATCATTATATTGTGTACCTGAAATTGATACAACACTATGTTAATTATACTTGAATATATTGAGTATATAAATTTGAGATGTATTTTTATGAATTTTTAAGTATAGAGTATGTAAAGTAATTCTCAGTGATCATAATAATTTCAAATGTTTGCTTGTAATATTAAGGGGTGGTTTCACAGGTCATCTTTCTTATTTTTATTTTTAATGAGATTAACCAAATCTTTTTTCTATAAAACATAATATTGGTTGTTTTAATCATGTTTTTTTTTCTACTTAATACATTGAGGGGGGTGTAACAGTGTAGGAATTAATTAATATGAAAAGACAAAGAATAATATAGTCTGAGAGAATGGATAGAAAAATACCAAAAAATTTAATTTATGTTGTTGAAATAACAAGAAGGGAGTGGAAAATTATAGTTGGTACAGCAGTAGCCTGATTTTCTATGACAGAGTTCAAGAAAATACATGCTTTAACTAACACCTTTTTGTACCTCAACTTTTATTATTCTTATGAAGAAAAATCTAAGTAATAAAGTTTTATTTAATGTTTAAGTATTAAAATAGAGCTCTGGCAAAAACTAATATAATACAGAATTCTTCCATCCATAAAAGCAATAAAAAGGAGTATTTGGGTTGTTACAGAAGATTATTGTTTCTCTTTTTCTCCAGGAAAAATGTGCAGAACGAAATAAGCAAATTCGTATTCGATATAAACCTTCTCTTTTCCAGCATGTGGGTATACAGTCATCATTCCCTGGAAGAGAACAATATTCCAAAGTAAGATTTTGAAATGTTACTTGAGTAATATAAAATGTCTTGTGAACTTATAAAATATCATTTAGGAAAGGAGAGATGGAAACATGAGAGAGACTGTAAAATGTGGTTGTTTAAACATAGTTCATCTTACAATAGCTATATGTTGTGAAGAGCAATCATCTTTTCAAGACCAAGTTATCTGTCATGGTTAGAAAAATCTAGCCTATGTTAACTTCTTTGCCTTACTATTATGTAACAGCTGTGCAATTCAAGTAATGACTAAAAACATGTTTTAAAAATCATAATACACTCACTATTTTAGTCTAATATTTAAAATTAGACAAGAATATTTCCAAATAAAATGTCCCTATTATTTAATTTAGATGTATCAACATTCTTATTTCAGATCACTATTTATTGTACCAACAAAAATTTGATTTTTTGGTATTGTTTGGTTTTTATCATTCTTAAATTTTCCATCATTTTTGGAAACAATGTTATTTATAATTGAATATAATTTAATTATAAAATATATAGTATATATATATAATATAATATAATTGAATTATAATTGAATGTTATTTATAATTAGCATCTTGGTAGGGTAGAAGAAGCAAAGACTTCGGAGTCAAAACACGTAGTTTTTAGTTACGGTGACCTATGTCCTCTGTGCTCTCTTCAGTCTGTAAGAGGGAGAAGTTTAAATTAGATGATCCTTAAGATGTTTTCCACCTTTGAAATACTATTGACATCTCTCCCTTCATTTCTTCACACAACAAAGCAAATGATTGCTTTAATCTTTGGCAGTTGAAATGAGAGAAATGCACGTGCACATACTCTCATCATTTCATTCATTATTTATGATCAGCCCTCCTTCCACCTTTTCTACTCCTTATCTCTATATATTTATTGTACTGAGTTCTTTGGAACACTGCCTGAAACATAGTGTGAATTTAGTAGATGTTAGCTATTAGCTATTATGCAAGGTGAAATTCTAGATTGAAAGTATTCATTAAGCAAAACAGACAAGTGTCTGGTATATTGAAAATTTATGAATCTGCATGCAAAAAATAACATCATAAAAATACATAAAACATAGCTGCAGGTGATGCAGAAAGAAATTGGTCTATACCATTCTATTTGTTGGTGCTGTTATAATGGAACTCTTTTCTTCCATTGTATTTTTTTGCTTGATGAGCTGTTTTAACCTTACCTTTGTAAATTTACAACCGATTAAGTAGAATATTTATCTAATCACTCATATTTTAATGTTATAACCTAGCTTTTTACCTTTTTATACCTCACACCATGTAAAATAGAAATAAATAACAATTTAGTGACATGTCCAATGTGGATTGTATATTTTTAAAATATATATTACTTTAATTATTATAATTATTTAATCATATTATTTTAAAATTTTCTAACAGGATATTTATTATTAGGAGTTTCATAATTCGAGTACCTTCTTTAAAAATGATCAGCATCATTCTTTGGAAAAAATGACATAATGAGGATTAGTCTTAGTTCTCAACTTTCTTCAAAGTGCTAAGAGACTATCTCATATAAAAAAATAAGCCTTTGATAATATAGTGGTAAGTATAAAAATTGATATAAATATATAGAAAATTATCAGATATTTATTAGTCTTATTTTATAATCATATTTTGTGTATTTTTAAAACTTTATACATATAACTTTCTGATATACTCTCTAATATTTTGTTTGAGAATAATGAGTATTTTCTTTTCCTTTTTATCATATACTGTACACATACAATGAATTTGGAGACAATAGATCTCAGTTTGAAGCCTCATTCTTATCAATAGATGCAACACTATGGATGAATCTCTAAAACACTGTGCTAAATGAAAAAAGCCAGATGCAAAAGACTATATACTCTATGATTCAATGTGGAATTCTAGAAAAGGCAGATCCTGACATCTTATTATGATTTTAATTTGCATTTCTTTGATGGCAAATGATGTTGAGCATCTTTTCATGTACTAGCTGTATGTATGTATATATGTATGTGTGTGTGTATATGTGTGTGTGTGTATGTATATAATGAAATATAGATTTTTACCAAATATGGATTTTAATGAAATGTAGTATATAGTTTTTGAAATGTCTGAGTATTTGCCCATGGGTTGTTCACCTGTTTACTTTTGTTTGTACATACATGGTCTCTGCTTATGACTTGCTCTTTCATTTTCTTAACAGTTCCTTTCAATGAATGAAAGACTTTCACCTTGATACAGGTCACTCCACCCAAACCTCCACTCTGTCCATATAGTTATGCCATTGCTTAGTTCAGTATTCAATGATTTCATAATGAGAATATAAAACCTGTTTACACTTAAACTGCATGGTATGCTCTATTTTTCCTTTATTATGCAGCTTTTTTTTGTTTTAAATTTGCTTTATTTCAATGTACTTATCACTAATTCATCCTCAGATTCCCTGCAAATTATCTAAATCTGTTCCTGATGTATTGAAACATTTTAAAAATCATGGCTGAATGTTCAATATTGTTTAATGCTTTTCTGCATTTCTACCACTTCCTAACCTTGAAAAATCTCTCTCCTGCAGCCTCTGACCAGTTCTAGCATATATCTTAGGAACCAGGCAGTTGATTTTCCTGTTTTCTATATCTCAAATCTGTATCATTCTTGGTCAACTCATTTGTTTTAGTAAAGCACACTCCCCTCTTCCTGGTAATTTCTTGAGAAAGATTGTGTAGGAGATAAATTCTTGGAAAACTAAAACATCTTAAAATGACTGCAGTCTATAAAACTTAATTGTTAGGTTGGGTAGGCAAAGGATTCTGAATTCTGATTTTTTAAGGTATTCAAGACTGTAACTGATGAAAAGTAGTTAAAGCCATTCTAATTCCTGTTTCTTGGTATCAGACCAATCTTCCCATCTGTAGACCTTTAAAACTTTTCTTCTATTTGAGATTCTACAATTTCATGATGATAGGATAGGTCTATTTTTATCTATTGTGCTTAATATTTGGTAGGGCTTTTTAATATGAAAACTCGTGTTTCGATTCTGGAAAATATTCAGAAATTATTTTGTTGATAAATTTCTCCCTCTGTTTTCTATGCTCTTTTTAAGGAACCCTATTTCAAATGTAAGATTCCTTAGATTGATGTTCTCTCTGTCTCTTACTTTCTCCTTCCTATTTTCTTTCTATTTGCTTCACTCTCTGAAAGTTTTTCTGAATTTTGCCTTATATCCTTTTTATGAGTGCTTTTTTTGTTTTGTTTTGTTTTTTGGGAAGGAGGGCAGTTTTCATTGATTGGTTGGTTTGGTTGTTTGTTTGTTTTTGCTATTGTAGCTTTAATGTCTGAAGAACTCCTTTTGTTCTCCTAATGTCATTGTCCTCTTTTATAACCCTTGGTTCTTATTTTATGATTGAAATACTTCTACTTAACCCTCTGAGGATTTTAATATTTTTAAAATATTTTTTTTAAGCTTCTTATTCCTGCATAGTTTCTATTTCCTCCAAGTTGGTTTGTTGTTGTTGTTATTGTTGTTTTTGGTCTCTGTTCTTCAAGTTGAAGGATTTCCTCAGGTATGTAGTGATCATAGATTGTATGTTCAAAAGGAGAAAGGTGGTTGGAGGCCCTGAGCACATGGCTGAACCTGTCAGTTTCACTGTCTGGGGAGGAGTGGCTAGGCTCTTTCCCTAAGGAATCATCTGTTCGTGTCTCTAAGTTTTGCCTCATGGGCTAATTAAATTGCTAGAGAATCTGGGAGCCCAGTAGGCAAAGATAGTAGGGGTTTCGGTGTTCACTTTGTCAATATTCACTTATTTGTCTTGTTTATCGTTGTTATCCTTACCCTGGTTTGAGTCTAGATACCCTATGTTTGCATTTTCAGAGAATTACCCTTCAAGAGTGAAGAGAAGATCATCACTTCACTCCATGGGGCGGAAGAGGGTATTTAGAGCTTCAACTACCTCAGACTTGCAAGCCAGTCTCACAGTTTTGCCCCATCTTCACCTCCACTTTTAGCAGTAGGGGGGTTTCTCTGCTGCAGATGGTACTTCTGTTTCCATACAGCTTTCACAGACCTCCATTCTGTTGCCATTGTTTCCCCTCCCATTCTGTTTGTAAGATCCTGTATTTTTAACTGACCCTGAAGGTTAAGTGTGACTTCTAGAAAGAGTGAAAGTAAATACTTGTGCCTGATTCACCGTCTTTATTAGGCAGCCTACTAGTTCATTCTTGAACTTTGACTCTTTGGCCTATTTGTTTTTTAACTTCCAAAAACAAAATTTTAATTTCCAGGACTTTCAGCTGATTCTTTTTATGTACACAATACCCTTCCTATCTCTCAGAGACAATTAATTACACTTAAACATTAGCACATTAGTATATGTGTAATTCGTTATTTTAACCACTTTCTATGCTTATTGTTAGAGTTCTGCATCATTGCCATCCTTCTCTCCATCTCCCCTGTTTCTCAGGGGAAAACTCATGCAGTACAGAATATCTTTCCCCACAAAGTGCCATGTTAGATTCTGTCAGTGAGAGATAGTCCCAGTAGATGTGGAAGACAGCAGAGAAGGTAACAGTTGCCTGCTGTGGACAGGAAATTGAGATCACACTTGCTGCCAGGCAGCTGAGATCATCTGCCGTGGTTTCCATATGACCCTCGTACTTCCAGATTTCCTGAACGTGCCTTCTTGACCTTTGCTCCCCCAATCCTTCCAACAATTGGGATCACTTCCAGTTTGCTCCATCTACATTGTCTACTTCTTTATTCAGAATACCTCCAGTGGCATCTGTTTCCTTGACTGACCTCAGTTTTCCGCTGAATTGAGATTTTGTTTCCTGCTTGTTGAGACTCTCTATTTGTTTCGTTGTGAATGCTGACTCTGTTTTCTGTCGCCTTCCTCCACTGTTGGTGGGAGGAATGGGGCAGTCTACTGCTGCTCCCTGTGCACACAAGCTTTTTTTCTGAGTAGGGAAGACCCTTCTTGCTTCTCCACTGGAAACACCCACACCCAGTGCCTCTGCTGGGGAATGGTCGTTTCTGATGTCTGCTGCTCTGCATAAGCACATATATTCCAACTGTGACTCTGCAGTTAACTCCAGGGCCCTTGCCTGTTCCCCTATATCCACTGTCTCTTGAGTTTGGGTCATCCTTAGAGCTACTCTCACCTTTTTAGTAGCTGGTGCCAGTGTGTTTTGGAATTTGAAATCCTCCCCTTCTCATCTGGTCTCATATGCTTTCCATCTGACACTCCCTCAGAATGATTTCTATGGATGGAACGGTGTTCATGCAGAATTAACATTTGATACTTCAGTAAAAGGGGCACAATCTGCAACTATGTGAATGGAACTAGAGGGTATTAGGCTAAGTGAAATTAGTCAGTTAGAGAAAGACAAATATCATATGACTTCCTTCATATGAGGACTTTAAGATACAAAACATGAACATAAGGGAAGGGAAGCAAAAATAATATAAAAACAGGGAGGGGGACAAAATATAAGAGACTCTTAAATATAGAGAACAGAGGGTTGCTGGAGGGGTTGTGGGAGGGAGGATGGGCTAAGTGGGTAAGGTGCATTAAGGAGTGTACTCCTGAAATCATTATTGCACCATATGCTAACTAACTTGGATGCAAATTAAAAAATAAATAAACTACTAATAAAAATCATCAAAATCTTAAAAAAAATAAAAATAAATTAAAAAGGTACATAGTATATAACCAAAAGTATGCATTATTTATATACATACCACTTCACCATGAAAATGTGGGTGCATTTCCATGAAGATAATCCTGCATTCTGTGAGTTCAATTAGACCTGCATCATGTTGTTTGTTTGTTTGTTTGTTTGTTTGTTTGTTTGTTTTATTTTTTTAGTGGGACTGAGGTCAGCAAAATTTGAAGAAGGTAGCGCAGGTAACAAATTTCCCAGGCAACTTCTTTATCTGTTACCCTCTCAGTCACCTGTCTTTCTAACAAGCTGCTTTCAGAATGTCTCCCTTCTTTCCTGCAAGAACAGCAAGAGACCACCACCACCTCATTTTTTCCCTCCCACATTAGGAATTTGAAATGCCTTCAGCACCCTCCACTGCAACCAGATTTCCCTTTCAAAAACAATTTCAGGGAAATCGGGAACTGTCCTTTTGCTAACATTTTTAGATATTTAAAATTAGGTGTTTCCAAACTGATGAAAGAGCTGCAGAATGGGTTACCCCTTCCATTTTCCAAAGGGTGCGTTTCAAAATGGAATAAAATTCAATCGTATCAGATTTTTAGCTTTGTTTATATTTATTAAGCAATATACATATATCCGGCTGAACATTAACAAAAAGAGCAACAATCCTCTGCATTTTCCCCATCCTTATCTGACTCACCAGAGGCAAGGACATTTAATCATTCTGGTTTAAATGCTTGGTAGTTTTCTTTATATTGCTAAATAATACACTTACACTGCTAATTTTTATTTATCCACATTATTTTTCCTGCAGTATAGATGAAAATTTAGATACTTATTCATTTTTACTATGTCTTAGTCAGTTTGGGCTGCCATAACAAAAAACAAAACACACGCACACACAAAAAAACACAAACTGGGTGGCTTAAACAACAGAAATTTATTTATCACATTTGTAGAGGCTGGGAAGTCCAAGATCAGGATGCCAGCATGGGGGCTTTTGGTGAGAGCCCACTTCCTGGTTTGTAGACAGCTGTCTTCTGACTATATCCTCACATGGCCAAGAGTAGAGAAAGGTCTGGTCTCTTTATCCCATTATAAAGGCACTAAAGTCCTTCATGAACATTCCACCTTTTTGACCTAATTATCTCCCAAAGGCCAAAGGCTATATTTCCAAATACACTGAGGATTTAGGCTTCAACATACGAATTTGAGGAAGGAGATGCAAATATTCAGTTGATGGGATATTATGACATTGATTATTTTGCCCCTTTCTTTTCTGAGTTTTCTGAAAGAATAATCAAATATTAAGTTTACTGAATTGACCTTCTACGTGTCATAGCTTTTATATACTATGTCCTATCATTGGTTTTTCTATGCACTAGGTGGATTCCTTGACTAACTTTTCTAATCAATGTTTACTTTATTTTTGTTTTATTCCTTTTTTCCTAGCATCCACTTGTGCTGTGAATACAATTTTTCTCAAATCTCAGGATACTATTAGATCTCTTTATGAAACATTTTTATTTTTTTAAAGTTTATTTATTTATTTTGAGAGAGACAGAGAGAGTGCAGGAAGGAGACAGGCAGAGAGAGAGTGGGACAGAGAAGCCAAAGCAGGCTCTGTGCTGACAGCAGTGAGCCTGATGTGGGTCTTGAACTCACGAACCATGAGATCATACCCTGACCCGAAGTCAGATGCTTAACCTACTGAGCCATCCAAGTGCCCCTCATGAAACATTTTTAAAGTTCTCTTCTGTATTCTGAATGCGCTGTTTTTTCTGTGACCAGATAAATCTATCTGCTTGTCTATTTTGATCTGTCTGTTAGGTTACACACTTTCCTCAAATATTTAGTGATTCTTGGTTGTCTGGTGGCAAATATGGGTAATTTTAATTCCTCTCCCTCCCCACTCCTTTCCCCACACTGCATTTATCTTCATATTCCTTTATAAAATTGAAAGGAATGAGGCTTCCTGAGAGTTTTTGGTACATGGATAGAATTTGTTGGCTTATGGCCACCATAAGTCGGTTAAGCTCCGACTCCGGCTGAGGTCATGACCTTATGGTTCATGAATTCGAGCCCCTCTGCTGTCAGCACAGAGCCCACTTCAGATCCTCTGTCCCCAGCCCCCACCCCTTTCACACGTGCATGCGTGCACTCTCGCACAATGAATAAACATTTAAAGAAAAAAATAATTTGTTGGCTTACAAACTCTGTTGTAGAGTATGTGGGTGACTAGGCTGTGATTGTTTTGTGTTGGAGTGGTTTTTTTCCATTTTTTGTTTTCCCAGTGGTTTGAGTGAAGGGGCACCAACATCGCAACCTATGTCCCAAAGAGCTTTGTTCTGGGACATAGGTTCACCCAGTGCCTGCCCTAGTTGCTAGTTACATCTGGGTGGCTCATTCAGCTTTCCTTAGAGAAGACTATGTGTATCAGTTGCCTGGGGCAAAAAGGCCTTGCAGCTCTCCCATGCCCCTGACAACACTCCCCCTTCCTTCTTCAGGGTTAGCTCCGCTTTGGCTTCCATCTTTCATCAAATTTGCCATCTCCATTCTAGCCCTGTGTTCCACATGCTGAAGTCACAGACTCCTCGGCTCCATTGTCAGGCCCCACTCTTCCATCAGATTTATGTCTCTCGTTAATTTGATTAAATGTCTCCTCAGCTGTGAGCCTCCTCTATTCTTTATGTCGTTTGGAATTACATCTTTTTCGTTCATTTACTATCATTTCAGTGGGGTCTAGCTGTCCACTACCTAGAGCCAAGAGTTTAGATATTACATTTCAACTTTTGTCAACTTTTAATTTTATCAAGTAAAATAAAATTTACATTCATGACCCCAGCAAGATAAATGTCACCCTCTTTTCTTTAACCAGGTCTAACATAGCAACACTTTAATATTCATTTCTTTAAGTCTTTTTAAAAAACTTCTATGTAAAATTTGTTCCTTAACCAGTTAAATTATATATTACACTTCTCACAAAACTTTTTAAAATGTAAGATAAATTTTCTATAGTTCATTAAGGAGAAGAATAGTTTGGTTAATTTCTATTCATCTAGCTAGTAGTTCAAAAACAATAATTTAATAAAAAAATTTATCTTGGTGATGAATATTCTAAGTTTTAAATTTTTAAAAATTTTGCCTGCCATCAATTTAAATGTTCTTTATCATTTCATGTTCTACGTCTATAATAAACATAAAAGAGGTTTAGAAACAACTAAAATATTTCTGTATGAATAATTTCTGAAAACTCAAATAAGATACTTAGTTTTTCTATTAGTTGGTAAGGAAGAGAATAGTGTGTTTTTATAATTTGCCAGCGCTGCATCCTACATGAAAAGTTATTTTTGTTTTACTGCGGCTCACTGGGCATAGGGCAAAGTGTTTCAATGTGTTGAAGTAGGGTTACCAAATAAGATACAGGATACTTAATTAACTTTGAATTTAGTTAAACAATCACTTTTTTTTTTTTTTGTATGTGTGACCCATTTGTTTTATTGCTGTTGCTAAATCTACTAAGCCTCGTTGGAGGTGATGGAGGAAGTAGATATCTCCCATCAAAATGCTTTAATTGAATTATTTGAGTTTATGCCTTTGACTTTTACTGAATAACAATATATGGCATATTTGCATGTTTTTCAAGACTATTATTTAAAGTTTTGTTTTGTTTTTTTTTAATGTAAAGATACATGTGACAACTTTCTCTTAATTAGAAAAAGGATATTCTTTCCCAAGGAGTAGTCATGATTTCTTTGGCCCATTGTGGGTATTTTTGTTCCCTTTGACTAACAAGAAATTCAAAACTAATTTAATATGAAATGTAGTACTCATATTTTCTTGCATTCACAGCAAAATTTCTCCAGTTCTAATTTTATATTTAGTCTCTGATTTTCTTTCATATATTAGTGTTAAAAGATTATTATGTTTCAATTTTATGTTTGTCTCAATCTTAAATCTTTCCTATATTTATTTATATTTTAAATTATAAAAATAAAGTGAATGTTTAAAGATATCTGGATATTGTCATATTAGGGACATCTGGCTGGCTCAGTAGAGCATGCAACTCTTAATCTCGGGGTTGTGAATTCGAGCCCCATGTTAGGTGTAGAGTTTATTTAAAAATATTTGTACCTTATCTATAACAGTTGGTTGGCTTTAGTGATAATCCCAGGTATCCCAGTGATGGAAATCTACTTTCAATAATTTTAACACCATGATGGTATTAAAATTGATATTGTCTAATACATCTGAAGAATCATGTCTTTGCCAATTTAAATATTCTTCTCTACTTATAAGGTAAAAGAGTGGTCAAAAGGATAAAGAATGTTATCAAAATATTTCATAAAAATAATTATATCCTTGTGAATTAACTAATTTCTATTTAATTTTCTAGATATTATACATTTCTTGTTTTTATTTCAGAAAATATGAAGATAATAAGCATAACAAGAAAAATTCTGTAATACATTGGAACCTCAAATAAGCCTGATTTCTCATGGCATCTTTCAGAAATTATAATAATGAAAATGCATAATCGTATAGAAAAGAATTCAGAAATTAACACACTTGTAGGCTTGAAAGTGTTAAGCTCCCTCTTATGTCAAGGAAAATTACAGTGTTTATTTATGATGTTTGTACCCTTACTATTATAATTTAATTTAAAAAATAGTAAAGGCAGGGAAGTTTTTGAAAATTAAGAAATGAATTTTGTTGACGTAGTTATGCTATCACATAATCTTAATAAATAGCTAATAGTTCAGAAACTTGTCATGGATAGGTTCTGTGTAAATTGGTATATGTTCTTATCCATTTTGTTAGGACATCTAAAGAAAGCACAATTTAAGCCTGGGTCTGGCAGTGCCACAATATCTTCTTGTCTTTTAAATAAGTGCATTTAAAACTATAAACTTACCCCTAAAGTGCTGTTTGAACTGGTTTACCAACCTCTTTATATTTATGTATTCTGATAGTCATTCAGTTCTAAAAGATTTTGTAATTTCTCTTATTATTACTTTCTTAGCTCATGGGTTATTTGGGAGTGTTTTTTTTTTTTTCAAATATGTTGGTTTTTGCCATCTTTTACTGTTGATTTCTCATTTAATTACATTGTTCTTAGTGGATTTTATCTGTGTGATGAGATTTGAGAATTGTTAAGAATGCTTATGTTTCATGTGAATTTGAAAAGAATGTATAGTGTCTGTAGACTCCCTTTAAAATATGTTGCATTCATTTGTTTCTTATAAATGTGTTTTGTGCTTTGAAAACGTCTTCTTAAATAGTCCCAATTATTGGGTGCAGAATTCTCTTATATCAGGCTTTTTAATTTACTTATTCAGGTTTTTAAAATTCTTCCTAATTTTTGTCTGCTTGATTATCAGTTTCTTATAGGAGTCTATTAAACTCCACTATTCTTCTTGTTATTCTGTTGAGTTTTATTTTATCTATTTTGAGAGATAATAAGAGATATTTCTTCTTCCTTCTTATTCATCAATAAAATATGAAAATTGTACTTCCTATTGTGTATTACCTATCCTTGAGTGCCAAAACTTTACATATCTACCTCAGTATGAACTGTGTCACATACCAACATATAAAAAGAATATGAAAGATGTTCACATGTGTCCATTTCAGTCTCTCCTTTTAGAAAAGAAGAAGCAATATGTCAAGTATATTTCAGTGAATCTGGGTTAGGGTGGTTGGTGGGGGGAGAAGAAGAAAAGACATTACATGGATGTTACCTGTGGCAGATGCTAGAAGAAAAAAAAGAGAGAGAAGTTGAAGAGAAGCCTTAAAGATTCAACACAATAACTGTTACCCTTAATGAAATGATTCCAGAACAGAGAATTTTGGCAGTCAACACAAAGCATTTCCAGAAAATGTTCATAGTGTAGCCAGGAGAGACACCCCCAATTTCCATCCCCATCTCTTCTGCCCAATTGCTGGATGTTTGGACCATTTCACTCCTCACCCATGGTCCCTGGACTGAGGTGTCTGAGAAAGGGGTGATTTGGAGAATCCCTGACACTCATCTGGGATAAGCAGAGCAAATAGCACTTATTGGCTGTTTTGGGCATTGTTTTATAACATTCATACTGATTTCGCTTTTAAAAGTCACTTTCCCTCAAGCATATGTATGAAAGCACATGATATATTTTATGCCCTTGGCTCAATATAACAGATGAGTTTGTAGAAACCACATTCAGACAAATTT